GTCAGCAGCAAGTTTTACTTTTTTCTGTGGAACCTTGCTTCCACCTCCAGGGGCAGATCGCTTTCCAGATATACTTAAGAGTTTCATGTCCTCTTCCTCTTCTTCTCCTGACTCTGTATCCTCCTCCACAGCTACTAAGTGCTGTCCACTAATATGCACAGGCCCTGAACCACACTTCAACCTTAAGACCACAGGTGGTGTTATTTCAAAGCCTCTAAGGGAAACCGTTGGCTGTACAGACATTTTCAGTGTTGCCAGTGTTACTTTAATTGGACTGCCTTCATAATTCATTGCCTCTGCTTCGACAATGTGCAATTCATCCTTTGCACCAGCCCCTAAACTGACAGTTCTTAAAGATAACTGGTGTTCATTTTCATCAATATCCACTTTAAAGTGATAATCTTTGTCGGCCTTTAGTTCACAACCGAAAAGATAGTTCTGGAGCCTCAGGGGGCTCCTGTCCATGTCCATCGAATCTTCCATGTGGCAGCACTTGGGTGGGCGAGAAGGCGGATGGAGGTAAACGACTACGGCTACCGAAAACAGCCGCGCAGGACGGAATCACTCCAGGGACCATGTTGTTTTGATTATCACAGCTTTATAATATTTTTTGAGGTGAGGAAGTGAGATACCTCCTACTTTAATACCTCTTGCACAGTATTGCTTTGGTGATACATGGTCTTTTATGATTCCAGGCAAATTTTATGATTTTTTTTCTATCTCTGTGAGGAATATCTCTGTTAGTTTGATTGGAATTGCATAGAATTTATAGATAAAATTGTGTAGGATTGACATCTTGATTGTTTTAATTCTCTCAATGCAGGAACACGGGATGTTTTCCCACTTTTTGTATCCCTTTAAACTTCCTTTTCAAGTGTTTCATAGTTTTCCTTGTAGAAGTCTTTGACTTCTTTGGTTCGGTTTATTCCTCTCACTGCTTTTGTGGCTATTGTAAATGAGATTTCTTTTTTTAGTTGTGTCTCAGTTTGTCCACTGTTGATGTATAAAAAATGCTATATAGCTTTTTGTATGTTAATTTTGTATCCTGTCACTTTACTGTGTTTATCACTTCCAGGATTATTTTTGTGAATTCTTTTTGGATTTTCTCTATGTAGAATCATCTCATCTGCAATTAGAGATAATTTCACTTCTGTTCCTATTTGAATGCCTTTTATTTGACTCTCTTGTCTGACTATATTTGCTATAACTTCCAGTACTATGTTGAAGAGGAGTGGAGAAAGTGGGCAGCCTTATCTTGTAACAGTTTTTAGTGGAAAAGCTTTCAGTTTTTCCCCATTCAGTGTATTACCTATGAGTTTGTTATAGATGGCTTTTACTGTATTGAAGAATGCACCTTTTTTGCTAAGAGTCTTAATCATGAGGGAATGTTATATTTTATTTAATGCTTTTTCTGCATTGATTGATATGATCATATGGTTTTTAGCTTTCCTTTTGTTAATGTGATATATTACATTTATTGTTTTGTGTATGTTGAATCATCCTTGCATCTCAGGAATAAATCCTATCTGGTCATGGTGTATAATCTTTTTAATGTTTTGTTGGATATGACTTGCTAGTATCTTGTTGAGAATTTTTGCATCTGTATTCATCAGGGATATTGACCTGGAATTTTCTTTGTTATGTCCTTGACTGTTTTTGAAATCAGGATGATAAAGCTTCATAGAATGAAATTGAGAGGGTTTCTCCTTTTTGAATATTTAGAAATAATTTGAGAATTGGGGCTAGTTCTTCTTTAAAGGTTTTGTAGAATTCAGAAGTAAAGCCATTGGGACCTGGGCTTTTCTTTGTTGGAATACTGTTACTGATTCAATCTCATTGCTTGTTATGGATTGTCTCAGGCTTTCTGTTTCTTCCGGATTCCATCTTGGTAAGTTATACATGTCCAGAGATTTGTCCATCTCATCTACATTTTCTTGTTTGTTGGAATATAATCACTCATAGTATTCTCTGATGATGCTTTGTTATGTCCATTGTAAGAATGCCTGTTTCCTTGCTGATTTGATTTATCTGGTTCCTTTCTTTATTTTTCTTGATTGATCTAGCTAATGATGTGTCAATTTTGTTTATCTTTAAAAAGAACCAGCTTTTGGTTTCATTTATTTTCTATGTAGTTCTTTCATTCTCTTTATCATTTATTTCTTCTCAAACCTTTATTATTTCTTTTCTCCTGGAATTTGTTGTTGTTATTGATTTTCCAGTTCCTTGAGTTGTTTATCTGCCACCTTTCTGTTTTTTCCTTGTGGGAGCTAATTGCTATGAACTTCCCTTGTATGGCTGCTTTTGCTGCATCCCATTGGTTATAAACACTTGCTTGTTTATTATCATTGGTTACTAGGAACTTTGGATTTCAGTCTTAATTTCTTCTGTAGTCATAAAGTCATTCAGGAGTAGATTGTTCAGTTTCCATGTGTTTGTATATTTTCAAAGTCTCTTTCTGTAGTTGACTTCAAGTTTGATTCCACCTTGGTCAAAAAAGATGCTTGATATAATTTCTATACATTTGAATTTGTAAAGGCTTATTTTGTGCCCTATCATGTGGTCAATCAAAAATGTTCCATATGGGGTGAGAAAAATGTGTATTTTGTGATTGCTGGGTGGAATATTCTGTAGATATTTGTCAAGTCCATTTCATTTATAGTATCATTTAGATCTTGTATCTCTTTGTTTGCTTTTTGTCTAGATGGATCTGTCCAGAAGAGGTATTGGGATGTTGAGATCCCCAATGATTATTGTATTACAGTTTATCTCTCCCATGAGATCTAACAGTCTCTTCTTCATGTATTATGGTGCTCCGGTGTTGGGTGCATTGATATTTTTAAGTATTGTATCCTCTTGGTGAACAAGTCCTTTCAGTACTATATAATGTTCTTTGTCTCTTCTTACATTTTTTGTCTTAAAGTCTATTTTGTCTGATATCTCTATCATAACTCCAGCTTGTTTTTGGTTTCCATTTGCATGGAAAAAGTTCACATGTTGGGGCTTGCTGATAAAAGTGTTAAACAAAAATAATCTCCTGGTGATCCAGTATCATTTATTTCTTCTCAAACCTTTATTATTTCTTTTCTCCTGGAATTTGTTGTTGTTATTGATTTTCCAGTTCCTTGAGTTGTTTATCTGCCACCTTTCTATTTTTTCCTTGTGGGAGCTAATTGCTATGAACTTCCCTTGTATAGCTGCTTTTGCTGCATCCCATTGGTTATAAACACTTGTTTGTTTATTATCATTGGTTACTAGGAACTTTGGATTTCAGTCTTAATTTCTTCTGTAGTCATAAAGTCATTCAGGAGTAGATTGTTCAGTTTCCATGTGTTTGTATATTTTCAAAGTCTCTTTCTGTAGTTGACTTCAAGTTTGATTCCACCTTGGTCAAAAAAGATGCTTGATATAATTTCTATACATTTGAATTTGTAAAGGCTTATTTTGTGCCCTATCATGTGGTCAATCAAAAATGTTCCATATGGGGTGAGAAAAATGTGTATTTTGTGATTGCTGGGTGGAATATTCTGTAGATATTTGTCAAGTCCATTTCATTTATAGTATCATTTAGATCTTGTATCTCTTTGTTTGCTTTTTGTCTAGATGGATCTGTCCAGAAGAGGTATTGGGATGTTGAGATCCCCAATGATTATTGTATTACAGTTTATCTCTCCCATGAGATCTAACAGTCTCTTCTTCATGTATTATGGTGCCCCAGTGTTGGGTGCATTGATATTTTTAAGTATTGTATCCTCTTGGTGAACAAGTCCTTTCAGTACTATATAATGTTCTTTGTCTCTTCTTACATTTTTTGTC